TCTTCGACCTGTTTGTTTCCTCTCCACCTATCCTCTCCTCTATCCCTCTTCTATCCGCCTCCCACTCTCTCCCTATTTATTTCAAAACCCCCTTCCCCTCCCCCTTTTCTGATGAAGGGTCTAGGCCCGAAACGTCAGCCTCTCTGCTCCTATGATGCTGCTTGGCCTGCTGTGTTCATCCAGCCCTGCACCTTGTTGTCTCGGATTCTCCAGCATCTGCAGTTCCTACTATCTCTGAGTTCTATGAAGTCCTATTCAAAACTACCAACTTGGTTCGCCCAATCAATGTGCAAGTTAAAGTCCCCCATACCTACTGCTGTTCCATTCTTACAAAGAACAAAGAACAAAGAAAATTACAGCACAGGAACAGGCCCTTCGGCCCTTCAAGCCTGTGCCGATCCAGATCCTCTATCTAAACCTGTCACCTATTTTCCAAGGATCTGTATCACTCTGCTCCCTGCCCATTCATGTATCTGTCTAGATACATCTTAAATGACGCTATCGTGCCCGCCTCTACCACCTCCGCTGGCAACGCGTTCCAGGCACCCACCACCCTCTGCGTAAAGAACTTTCCATGCGTATCTCCCTTAAACTTTTCCCCTCTCACCTTGAAATTGTGACCCCTAGTAATTGAGTCCCCCACTCTGGGAAAAAGCTTCTTGCTATCCACCCTGTCTATACCTCTCATGATTTTATAGACCTCAATCAGGTCCCCCATCAACCTCCATCTTTCTAATGTAAATAATCCTAATCTACTCAACCTCTCTTCATAGCTAGCGCCCTCCATACCAGGCAACATCCTGGTGAATCTCCTCTGCACCCTCTCCAAAGCATCCACATCCTTTTGGTAATGTGGCGACCAGAACTGTACGCAGTATTCCAAATGTGGTCGAACCAAAGTCCTATACAACTGCAACATGACCTGCCAACCCTTGTACTCAATAGCCCGTCCGATGAATGAAAGCATGCCGTATGCCTTCTTGACCACTCTATCGATCTGTGTTGCCACCTTCAGGGTACAATGGACCTGAACACCCAGATCTCTCTGTGCATCAAATTTACATGCATCAGATATTTCTTGATTTATCGCCTGTGCCACTAGATCATTATTACTGGATGGCCTATAGACTACTCCCACCAGTGACTTCTTCACCTTACTATTGCTAATCTCCACCCAGATGGATTCAATATTTTGCTCCTTAGATCCTATATCATCTCTCAGTATCGCCCCGATCTCATCCTTAATTAAGAGTGCGATCCCACCTCCCTTACCTTCCTGTCTATCCTTCTGAATTACCTGAAACCCTTGGATATTTAGTTCCCAGTCATCACCAGCCTGCAACCACGTTTCTGTAACCAAATCATACCCCTTCATACTGATTTGCACAACTTTGTTTCAAATACTACGGGCATTCAGATAAAGTGCCCTTAAACTCATTGTCCCTTTACAATCTAGTAATCTTCTTGTCTTTTGCATTTGATTCTGTCCTCCAATTTTACTTATTTTCTTTTCTAACTTTTGCTTTGGTCTCTGCATTGCTTCTTTCTGCCTTTCTGGATGGACTCCCATCCTCCTGCCATTTTAGTCTGTCCTTCCTCACAGTCACTCTGTTCATTGCATCTACCTTTGCACCAACTGCTCCACCTTCTGACCTAATGCTCTGATATCCATCCCCCTGTCAACCTAGTTTAAAGCCTCCCCAACAACTCCAACAAACCTGTTCGCAAGGATATTGGTCCCTCTTGAGTTCAGGTATGTATGGGTGTGACTGTGGTTTTAATGACTGTAGACATTTGCTTTGTTATATAATCAATTACATGTTTACAGAATGAATTAGTTTATTTTATCACTCTGAAGATCTTTTGCAAATATTGTGGTAAGTAGTTTAACTTCAGAAGAAGTGAAACATATCTAGACCAGAGCTGTAAACCATGCAGAGGGAGCTTGATTGAACGGGCTTTGAACAGAGCAAAAGGATCACCTGACCTTGTCTGTTTCTCAATCTCTCAGGTCTTCAGGAGAGGTAGAGGTGGAGTAATAATGTGGTTTAGCAATCCTGAACGGCAGGCTAATTCCTTGGGGGCATAATTGTGAATCTTCCCATGGCAGGTGGTGACATTTGAATTAAATTTTTAAAAATCTGTAATTTATAAAACAAGTAGTGTTAACCATGTTACCCCTCTTGATTGTCGTTTTAAGAAAAAAATAACCCCATTCGGTTCACTAATGTCCCCTAGGGAAGGAAATTTGTTGTCTTTACCTAGTCTGATCTACACGTGACTCCAGACTCATGGCAATGTGATGGACCCTTAACTGCCTCTGGTCAATTAAGGATTGGTAGTAAATGCTGTTAATGCCCACGTCCCATGAAAGGATAAAGAAAAGGAAGTTCTTCAGGAGTTACTACTCATCAACTCCTATTCAATTTACTTGCTCCAATATTAGCAATGAACAGATTTATACATTCCAACACATTTATATTTGCTTTTTTGATTTAGTTAATACAGTAGAGGGAAGAGTTTTCTGGCAATCATCTCATCTGAAGGATTGCAACTTCAGAAATTCAGCATTCCATTAGTACTTAATTTACGTATTCAAGTCACAAGTCACAACCTTCTGATTCAGACTGGCTGTCAGCTGATCCAAAGGTGGCATTTAAAACAAATGGAAGAACTGCTGGTTATACATTCATCACTGCAGCAACTTGTTTATGGACAGCTGAGGTTTGTTCAACACTTCAATGTGATGTCTGTTATGCTTAGGACATTTTGAGGGTGAAATTGGCCTTTGGCACTTTACACATCACCATATGTTCTTTTGTATTGGTGTAAAATGGGCTGTAAATTCATTATCACATGTTTTTACGTTAGCTCTGAGGGCCTCACTCTCATTGACACCAAATACAACTACATAATCCTTGCAAATCTCTGTGCAAACAAGCTTTATTGTATTGAATGGTTAATGTATACCTTCAAAACGCAAATTAAACAACTGAGAACTTCAGGAATTTTGGCAACTTTTGTTTTAGGCAGATTGCATTCAGGTGGGGATGGGAAGAATTTTTGTTGAACATGTTGCAGATTTTATTGTCAGTGAATTCTCCATTGTTGCTAATTGTCAGTGTGTGGTGAAAAGAGACTTTTGCCCATTTTAGACTTCTCACAGGCTGCATTGCAGGATTTTAATTCCTGAGATGATTATTGCCATTGATATGAAAAAAGCCCAGATGATATATCTGTGAAAAATTGTGAAATAATTATAGGCATCAATACAATCACTGTAGTTGTGATCCACTGAGCAAATGACTACATCTAAAGAATTATACTAAAATAGAGAAAAGCATCTGGTAGTATATTGGGAGAGGTCTTCTTCACTTCTTTTGTCACGATCTGGATCTTAAACTTGAAATTCAGGAGTGAGTGTTAAGTGATAATTCCCAATGAACAGTCCCAAACTAACAGAAGTTAATTTGAGTGGTAAGCCATCACCAACTGGTTGTCTGCTGAGAAGAGGTATTCCACAAAGTTCATGATTGCCAAAGATGGTATTGCCCACGGCGTACTTTGGAGAGTTTCTTAGCCTGCTTCCAAGTGAGCCCATTGACTGGAAAGTCATGATGGCACAAGTAAAAATATTTCTGCTCAACAAACTCCTGCTACAACTTTATTGACAGACAATTAAAAACAAAATGAGCTGCCAAGTTGCTCAATTGCAGTAAATAGCAAATCAGTACTCTAGCACATGCTGACACAATAGGATTTCCAAATACTGCAAGGCTGAGGCAATAAAAGCTCTGTCCTGATGTTGCCTATTATCTGATACTACACTGGTATTGCAATTATCCTGGATTATGAAGGATGTATTTTTCATACGCATTCAATTAAAGGTCATTTTTCCTGAATTCTGAAAAAAGATCCTTAAACTGAAATGTGTGGCTGGATTGTCTGACTCCACTGACCTTTAATAATGCTGGATGGGACCTGAATATGGATGATTCGCCTCCAATTATGACAGGTTCCATTTTTGTCAGTTGGGGAATGGGTGTGATTCACATGTGAGTGAAAATTGAAGTCAGCAGGGCCATTTGCTGCATGGGGTGACTCAGTGGTTAGCACTGCTACCTCACAGTGCCAGGGTCCTGGGTTCAATTCCACCCTCAGGTGACTATCGGTGTGGGGTTTGCCATTCTCCCTGTGCCTGCAGGTGTTTCCTCCAGGTGCTCTGGTTTCCACCTACAGTCCAAAGATGTGCAGGTTAGGTGGACTGGCCATGCTAAATTGCCCCATAGTGTCCAGGGGTGTGTAGGTTAGGTGGATTGACCATGGGAAATGCGGGGTTATTGCGTAGGGGATCTGGGTGGATGTTCTTTGGAAGGTCAGTGTAGTCTCAATGAACTGAATGGCCTGCTTCCACACTCTAGGGATTCTATGGTTTGAAGTTAGTGCTGCATTCACATCAACCTGTTCAGTGGTGTTATTATGTATGCCTGGAGCAAGTAGGACTGGAACCCAGGACTCCTGGCTTATAGGTAGGATACTACCACTGCCCCAAAGAGCCCTTGGAACTCTTATCATTTATACCATAAAACAACTGGTTGCAAAAGCCTTCAACTCACAGTGTTCATGGATTAGATGTAAAAGCTTTGGAACGGCAGAAAAGATCTGATTAGCTGTCAAGATCCAAAGAACTTTTTTCCCAACAATTAGAAATTATCAATCAACCCATTCCAACAAGATATAACTAAAGCTTTATAATAACTATAATAACTAAAGCTTTATATAAACTATATCTAAAGCAGGTGGGAATTGAACCCCAGTATCCTGGCATAGAGGTAAGAACACTGTCACTGAATCATGAGACTCCTATAGTCTCACCATTTATATTTCCTCTGATCAATTTGTTCATGATGTTATTACACACCAAGTGGGGCTTGAACCCAGGTCTGCTGGCTGAGAGGTAGGGATGCTACCACTGAGCCACAAGAACCCTTAGGGCCGTGACCCTTTTATAACATTTCATGATTTTGTATATCATCCTTGTGCAGAGGCGATGCTAATGTTCTTTGTATCATTCCAATGTTACTGTATATGTTGCTTAAGCTAGTACAATATTTTTAAACAACCTGTTCAGATATGTTACCTCTTAAACCAAGTCTTCTGGCTCAGAGCTAGGGCACTACCACTGTACCACTGCAGCCCTAAGTAATACTACCCAGTTTCTAAAGAAAACACCCAGAATACACATACTTTCTTCGAATCAACATGGTTCAGCAATGTTGTTGTATATGCCTGGAGCAAGTGGGACTGGAACACAGGTCTCCTGGCTTAGAGCTAGGACACTACCACTGCCCCACAAGAACCTTTGGAACTCTTACCATTTAGACCATACAACAACAATAGTTTAATAGAATAGTTTAGGTTAGATGGGCTTCAGATTGGTTTCACAGGTTGGCGCAACATCGAGGGCCGAAGGGCCTGTACTGTGCTGTAATGTTCTATGTTCTATGTTCTATGTTCTATGGCTGCAGCTGTCAGTGGTTATGAAAAAAAACTCTGCTGGATGGCAATGATTGACAGACCAGTTGCTGTAGCATCTGCTCATGTAGTATTTGTTGACATTTCCCTATAAGTTCTTACTATATATTTAAGCCAGCTTGGCTCACTTTCAAATGCTGCAATTATCTCAGCAGGGGTATCCAGTTCAAGGTTTGATTGACAGCTTATAGAGTATTAAAAGATTAACTTTCCAGTATTGGGTACGAATAGAAGTTTCTTTGTTTTTACAAGTGATTATCCACTTTGGGTTTCAAAGCATTAATGGGCTTCATGATGGGAGTTTTATTTTCAGTACATTTCCACATGACCTCTGAGGTAGTGACCATGGTGAAGAATGGGTGAGTTGACATGGAGGGTATCAAAGGCCATAGCGAGTGGATGTTGGCTGTGGAAATGAGAGCTGTATGGCCGAATAACTTGTAAAACTGTTGGCAAAGAGTAACAGAGAACTGAGGTAGGCCTTCTAAACAGCCCACCTAGCCATTCACTCAACGCAATGGCAAGTCCAAGTCTATCTTATGACTTCGCCACCCCCATAACACTTTAAATTATAAACAATAAGTTCATAAAATGTAGGAGCAGAAGTAGGCCATTCAGTCCATTGAGTCTGTTCTGCTAATCAATAAGAACATAGATGATCTGATAATCCTGAACTTTGATTTCTGGCCTTATCTTCACAAGTTTTGATTCCCTTCAAATCCAGTCAGTTCTGTTGAATCAGGAACTTTGTCAAAGTGAGCTAACTGCTTGGTAGTGAAAATCCAGCCTGCTAACTCTGATTCTCTCTTCACAGATGCTGACAGACCTCCTGGGTACTTCGAACATTGTGTTTATGCTTTCTGTAGTGATTGGAATTATGTCAGCTAGATGGACCTCATAGAATATGATTTCCCTGATTGAGGCTGTTAATCTGATCCAATCAGGGAGTCCTGGCTACAGATATAAACAGGAGTGTCAGGGGTTCTGCTCACTCCAGGAGCCGGATCTGAGCTAGCTGGGCCATTGTAACGTACTAGACATGTGTAAATAAAGAGTGAATTGGTGAAGGGATACTGGCCTTTGTGGAGTTACTTCACTTTCCCCTAAAAGAGAGAAACCCATAATGCAGGTTGAAAAGCTTAGAGATCAGAGAAGGAAAGTTAGCACTCAGTGTGAACAAGTTGTTGCATAGAATCAGTTAGAAGAAGGGAAATAAAATAATTTCAACAATTTCAGTCTTATACTGATGGAGGCAGGTATGATTTTTGGGTTATGCAAAAACCATGGAAATGTTTGTCAACATTTGGAAATTAAAAATCTAAATATTTAAGTCTTATGAAAAACACAATCAAAATTAAAGTCAAGACACTGTTTATAACATATATCTCCAGCGTGACCACAACCCAACTACAATTTTATCAGCAGCCACTGCTCTGGTCAGCCTCATGAGGACCAAAGTGGATAGGAATTTATTGTCCAAACCTCACAAAGAATTAGTCTATCTCACTCAGATGACTTGAGCAGGGTTAAGTGTACAGCTGCGTAAACATGCACAGTCAGCAGTGCTTCAGGCCTTTTCAATAACTGTATGACAGACGGCATCAGACCAGCCTCTCACTGCTTAAATCCAAGGATGCAGTCACTATTTTCAATTCTGCTCAGCAAAGCATTTAAACCCTTGTGATTTTTTAGCACAATTGAAAAATATATAAAGTATGGTTAAAAAAATGAGAGCTATCACTGAAAACATAAAATTAAGTTTTGACTGACATTATTTAATCAGGACATTGACTGAGTAGTAGGTTATTAGAAACATGAATAATGCTCTATCAATAACTATATTAAAACAAATGAAATTATCTGCTTTTCCTGACTGTTCAGCAGTGTCTGTGAATTGCCTGTGATACTGTAGCAGTGTCTGTGAATTGCCTGTGATACTGTAGCAGTGTCTGTGGGCTGCCTGTGGTACTGTAGCAGTGTCTGTGAATTGCCTGTGATACTGTAGCAGTGTCTGTGGGCTGCCTGTGATTCTGCAGCAGTGTCTGTGGGCTGCCTGTGATACTGTAGCAGTGTCTGTGAATTGCCTGTGATACTGTAGCAGTGTCTGTGGGCTGCCTGTGATTCTGCAGCAGTGTCTGTGGTTCTATAGCCATGTCAGTAGACTACCTGTAATTGTGTAGGAGTTCTGCAGAGTTGAAGTCAAATGTTTGAAATGCCATTAACACAAGGCAGATGTTTGCAAAATTTACATTTTTCCTAAATGTTGCTGTGTGTCAGATAGGATCTTTTTCCTGTAAATTCTTTCCATCTTACAAAATTCTGTTTCAGTAAAGTGGACAGCTTAGCATAGATTTTTGTCTTCACCACTTTTGTTATAATATAGAGAACAATTGGCTAACCATTATAAAATCGAGAACGCCTAATGCATCAATATTAATAAAGTGAAATTTGAGCAGGTTCTACAAATGAATAGGCCTCCCACACTGCCAGATTTTAGTTCCTGGGTTGAAGACAAAACTGTATTGTGTAATGAAAAAGTACAAACAGGTCTTGTAATAGTTTGCACAGCAAGAAGCTGTGTGATATTGAGAAGCTAGTGATATCCAAGGCTAATATTAAGTCATATTCAAATAAGCCTATAAATTGGTCAAGCCACATCTCTGAAACAGGCTTAAAGTTGCTGCTGTACTACTCAAATCAAGATCCTATGCCAATTCAAGGACACTGTTGTAAAGCTCAGGTTTGGTGTCAGAGCTGATGGAATTCCTCAGACTCTAACCAGTGAGCAGCATTTGGAGATTTGTACCACAGACCAGGGCTTCCACTCAATTGACTTTTATGTTTAATCTAAATTTGGCCTCAGGTTGACGCAACCTAACCTGATACCAATTATGAACCCAAAGCAATTTTCTCCCCTGTCATGCGGAAAATGCTCCCATATATTTCAGTTGCCTTCAAATTTTCAATTGGAAAAATCTGTGATTTTTAGTGGCTCAAATTGATCTAATTAGCTAGAACTGTTTTTCTTTTCCCTAGAGAATGTAGAAACATTCTGTGATTTCTTCAGAAACTCTGCTTTCACTGAACAAACAGCCTTCTTACTTTGAAGTCTCTGCTCTTTTTAAGCTGGATTGATTGGAGGAGGTTTCTAGGTAGAGCAGCAGCAACTCTGATGACAAGGTCAATAAAGGCATATCAATTGTACAGCGTTGTAGCTTGCCATATCAGTTGGTAATAGTCCCTGATACTTGTCCTCTTTATAAAGGTTCAAACCCTGAACAATCAGCTGGCTGACAAAATAGTCCTAGCTTGATTCTCCTTGAAAGATGTGAGATGTAAATAGGATCATTCTGGGTTGAGAAGGTTTGAGGATGACAGCTTTGGAAAAGCTGGAAGAACAGCAACCTCATTTTCCACTTCAGCAACTTAGAGCCATTAGGATTCAACACTGAGTTCAACAACATCCAAACGTAAACACCATTCCCCAACCCCCTCCATCCCTTACCACGGCTAGTGCCCATGAGCATGTCCTGAGATATTGGTGCCCTGATTCCAATATGAAGTCATTTGAAGCAAACGGCGAGTCTATCAGGTGTTCTCTCTGTCAAGTTTTCCTTATTGAGTTTTCCTGATGTTGAGCTTGTTGGGCAAGTTTGGTTTGATGGGAGGCTGATTATTAATGAAGCATGTTGGGCTGAGAACAAGATGCTTAAGAAGCAAGAACTCATTGCTGCCAAGTGAGAATCTCTCCACGCAGCTTGTAAAAAGTATAAAACTTGGTCTGAGAAGATCCCAACGTCAAGATGGACCTTGCCACACTACTACCTAATTCAGCCACACAGCTCACCATAGCCCACATTGCTTACATTCTGCCTATTAACTCTGTTTCTCTTTTTATTGATGCCGCTAGACTTGCGAAGTTTCTCCAGCACTTTCCGTTTTTATTTAGGATGGCATGCCTAGTGATAATTGATGAATGTTATGTAGCCAGTCTGGAGCTGGAGCTGGGCAGATCAGTAATAGATCAGCCCTTCTAGTATAATAGCAATACTCTTGAACTCTCTGTAGTCTCAGAGTTGTTGGAGACTTCGTATGACTGTGTTGGAAATCCCATGTTGGAGCCAAGGGCCAATTAAAACTGTATTCACATGCATTTTATGACTTCCAGCATCAGGGCAGGTAACACACTTGGAGTATGATACTGCACTGCTTTAGCCAAATATATGGAAGCACTACAGTGTGGAAGCAGGCCATTCAGCCCATCATCCACACCAACCCTCCAAAGAGCAACCCACCCAGACCCATCCCCTGTCCTATCCCTGTAACTCTGCATTTCCCATGGCTAATCCACCTAAACCGCACATCTTTGGACTTTGGGAGGAAACTAGAGCACTCGGAGGAAACCCTCGCAGACATGGAGAGAATGTGCAAACTCCACACAGACAGTCGCCTGAGAGTAGAATCAAACCCAGGTCCCTGGTGCTGTGAGGCAGCAGTGCTGACCAGCTAGCCATCATGCTATCCATTTATATCATACGCTTCTTAAGAACTTGGCCTACAAAGAATGAGTAAAT